ATAACAGGTAAGTCTGTGTAACTATGATATTTCCCATTATTTATATAACAGGTAAGTCTGTGTAGCTATGATATTTCCCAATTTTTATATAACAGGTAAGTCCGTGTAACTATGATATTTCCCATTATTTATATAACAGGTAAGTCCGTGTAACTATGATATTTACCATTATTTATGTAACAGGTAAGTCCGTGTAACTATGATATTTACCATTATTTATGTAACAGGTAAGTCCGTGTAACTATGATATTTCCCATTATTTATATAACAGGTAAGTCCGTGTAACTATGATATTTCCCATTATTTATATAACAGGTAAGTCCGTGTAGCTATGATATTTCCTATTATTTATATAACAGGTAAGTCTGTGTAACTATGATATTTCCCATTATTTATATAACAGGTAAGTCCGTGGCCCAGGTCGCCATCCGCTGGTTATTACAGAGGCCCACAGTGTCAGCTGTGATCATTGGAGCCACCAAGATGTCACAAATGGAGGACAATATTGGGGCGGCCGCTGGGTGGGAGCTCACGGATGACCAGGTAAGGGTTATAACACATCATAATACATTATAAAGACCCAACTGACACTGCGGTTTCAAGTATCGCAGTGATTTTAAATCACTCCATGCTCTCTCTCTATCGTTCAATAATGATAACATGGTCACAGTTTCATATTCACTCACTAGTACAGTATTCTCATGGATATATTTTTTCTGTCATATCTAGATGCAGGAGCTGAATAAACTGTCCATGCCTGTGATACCATACCCGTATGAAATGATCAGAAGAGCTAACAAAATGAGGAAAGAGTCAGAATTCTGAAATGACCAGAGGAGCCACCAAAATGATAAAAGACACAGATACGTGTATCTTAAGTGGAGGGGTACCCACGGAATCACTACAGCAATAATACATGTGCAGGCACTATAGCGTGCTGATTGTCCATGGATAGGTTCTGTCCACTTCTGTTTGTTGTCACACAGCAATTGTTGGCCATTATTTCTGATCAGTGGTCTCTCCTCCAAATCCCTGGAATCTCGTTTTGTAGCGCGACACTTTGGGTTATCTGGGACGATTTTCCTTGGCATACCACGGTGTAAACAGCATTCAAGAAAAATTAATAAATGGATTCAATCTTAAAATAGAAATTATTGATCTTTACCATTAAAATTAAAGCACAACATTTGGTGTTACTAAATGATACGTGATTCTTTAAAAAAATAGAATTTTATAATAATTCTATATTGAACAATATCCCACTGTGTATGGACATATACTGTACATGCATACTGGTACAAGTATATATTGTCTCGAAAGATATGCATATGTAGGTTGATTGCAGTTGTTTACTAGTACTATGTCCTATATTTTGTTTTTTTTAAATAAGAAATGGAATGAATGTACTCATTCTCTAATTCATTTGCCCTTCATTCATTCAGCATTACAGGTTTGTTTAAAATAAAGCAGTACTCAATCCACTGATCCTATTTTCACGGGCGTGGTTTACAATTATTGCCAACTTTAACAAGAACAATGGAACATGTCACATGTTTGCTTGGTAAATTTAACATAGACATGTTTGGAGTGTAAAGGTGTCTCTCTGCTCCGTTTTTTATCTTTTGTCAAATCTAGCTTCAGTATCAAGCAGTTAACGTAATGACACAACCATCACGGACTGTCAGAGTATAGATATAACAGCGATGAGAAAGATGAGAAATCTTCAGAAAAAGTTGATAATTTGCTTCACTTGTATAATATATATATATATATATATATATATATATATATATATATATATATATATGTTACTAATTGTTCCTCTGCATCATCTTTTGCTTAATCTCAGGTAATCATGTTAGTGGTCCCAGATAATTAACTGGGCCAGATACCACACATATTACAACTAAGGCCGTGTTCCCAATATGTGCCCATTTCCATGAATTTCACGTCAGCTTGACATTTAGCTATCTAAAAACTCATCACAATATTGAAAAAAGGTAAACTGTTGAACAACGATAGTGGTTCGCTGCGATTTAGTTGTTAGTTGCGAACTTTTTCCTGATTTTCACAATGTTCTATTTAAGGATTTTATAACATCGTTATTATTGCAAAACATACCATAAAACACCAAAAATCATTAGATACGGGCATATCAGATACGCCGTCGCAGCCAAGTGTCTTATAAATTCACAAAGAACAACTCTATACTCACTGGTTTGGGTGTTTGTAATGTGAAGAAGAGCCACAGAAGAAACACAATAGCTGTAGGGTTAGGGTTAGCCTAACCCTAAAGGATCGTAGTCGCATAAGGGTCCAGAAAGAGCCACATACAACCCAAATACGCCTCATACGTGTCAAATAATAGCTGCATAAGAGAGCGATTTATTCCGAGTAAATCCTTATGTACATTGTAAGCTAGTACACGTTTGCCAATCAGAATCAATTACACAATGAACAGTTTTACCTTTAAGTCTAACCAATCACAAGAGGTCACGCAACATTACTATAAGAGATTCTAACTAACACACCAGATTGTACTTTACTTAAATAGAGACATCTACCGACAGCAATATAAAACAATCTCAACTAACGCAGTACATCGTCTCACTATGCAAAAACTGCACATGAAAACGATTTTCAGCCTCGCTGAAATTTTTTCACCTTTACGTTCTTTGCCACTCTGTCGGTCGATGCAGTAACTTATAGAAAACAGTTTGACTGAAAATAAACACAATTTTGCACCTTCAAACTTTAAAACACGTTTTCATATCTTATACCCCGTATGTATTCTCTGTTCAAAATACCAAAAAAAAAAAAAAAAAAAAAAATAATAATAATAATAAAATAATAATAATTATAATAATCTTCCCATGCCGTCCGAAAATCCGCCTCAACTTACTTCCAGCGAAAAATAACCAGGCAACTTCATGTCTTACACCATTTGACGTCATATGATGCACACTTCTGGCACAATCTCATCTCATCAGGTTCCTTTAGTTTTAATTACCCCTAGCTTCTTGAGGAGAGGCGAACCAGACAATTCAGCTGAAAATATTGACTGCGGCATGGCGAGATGTAGATGACTGAGATAAATAAATCCACCTAGAACGATAACTTTTATTGGGAACACGGCCTTAGCTACAGATGGTGGTTTCTATTCAGTTTTTACTCTATTAAGGTGACGACGACGAAGAAATTGGAGCTTTCCAACATTTATTCACCTACTTATTTTTCATACAAATTTATACTCTCTTTCTCACTGCTGATCAAGCATTTACTTATTTTCGTTCTGTTGTATTTTGCGTGATTACCGAACATTTTCCATCATCATGTTGCATTCCTCTATTTAATATTTCATTATGTTTTTTAAAGAGCTTTGTTTTCTATTATGAAAATCTAAAATATTATTTGAATTGCTCATATTTGTGTCATGTCCAAAATCAGTTAGCATATGCAATACACGTGATAGAAACTTACACATCTATTATGACATTAACCAATCAAATAAAATAATATGTGACTTTGCCATATTCCATCTTTTGCGAACTCTACAACAGTTTCTACACTTGTTGACTCTACAGGAAATTAAACTTGCACTCAATAAAATCCCCACCTTTCACTTATTTGATTACTCTTTAATTATCATTTGCAATTAGCGAAAGTGATAGCCTTTCTGCAAAAGAATTTGACCTCGAAATTCTATAACTCTCCAACATACGCTCCTTTTTTATTTTTAAAGCAAAGCAAATACTAAATAACATAAAATTTGTAAAACTCTTAAAGTAATTATGTCATCTTATTGTCTTAAGAGTCTATGTCTTATGCGTTAACATAATCCGATAATTTGGTTCTCTTGGTTAGCTGTAGCATACTTCATTTACATATACAAAACGTTTACGTTAATTCTCAAAAAGCTTAAACGACAAAGTTATGTCATTAATGTAAATGTTATGCACAGGTCAGATTCGGCAAAAATAAATAAATAAATAAATAAATAAATAAATAAATAAATAATAAAAATAATAATAAGACGTATTTACTAAATCATAACTGTTAAGCAAACACTTAATAGAAACATTTATATTCATAACATCGTCGAAAATGAAGTAAAATACATCATGCGCATAATAAAGACCATGGTACGATAACACAATACTTATTTACAATAATTGGACCTACTATAAAATAAAAAAGCGTAAATAATCATGACGTATTATTTCCTTACATCAAAATTTAATCGCTGGTAATAAACATAGTACTATATGGTGCGAGACACATATAGCAAATCAAGCCAGCTTCAAACTGAATTTGAATTTAAAAAAATAATCTGCACCGCGTCTATATTGTTTAAACTGAATATAAAAAAGTGCATTAGCATGTTAAATGCCCAAAAATGTAAAACATTTGCTTTTGAGTAATTTTCTGAGTCTAGAAGCTGTAAACATTAACAATTGCAATACACTTGGTGTTACTATACTAAAACTGCATTAACGGTCCTTAGTCTCTGACTTATACTGAAGTTCCCCGGAATCATGCCAGGTTGCATTACAATGTTATTCTTAAGTTTACACAAGACAACATCTAATATAAAACATTAGCTTGTGGTCACATCATGTGGTCGTCAATTTACGTTATGGATTACATCAAACAACTGTCAAAGTTATATTCAGTGTGTAATCTTTAACCGCCTGTACTGGTAACTATGATGGAAAGGCAATTCAAATTACGTGTTGTTGAAGGTTTTGGCGGATTTTTGCCTGCAGCTCTCTGTTCTCGTCTCGTAGAAATGCGATTTGTTCATGTGCATCCCGAAGCGCATTCCGAAGATTCCCGTACGTTGGAGACTCTGTTGGACCTGACGTAAAACAAAAACATACAAAACATTGTGCAAATTTGATAGGAGAATATGCGAAGATATTTTCCCAAAGGGGAATCAATTGATACCGATGCAGTATGCTTAAAATTTCAATATGAAAATATAAAAACCTTTAATCACCAATTACTTAACTTGTGCTTGCCAAACATTGGAAATTAAATTAAATAAAAAAAAACGAACAAGTACTTGTAAACTTTATAACCTTTCGTCCGTGTAACGAACTATACAACAGACTACTTACAAATCGAATTATATATACCTTTAATGATTTGAACCAACTTTGGAATCAACTCTCTGTCACTGACTAGAATGTATTTCAGGGGTTTGAACTCGACGGGGATTTGTTGTGGAAGGAGATCCATTAGGACCGGAATGACGACATCTTCACCTGATTCCGAAGCTTTATGTATGGCAAACTCCCGTTCCTTTGCACAAAACGGGCTCTCCATAAAGCTCTTGGACAGGAAGACAACAGTTCGTTTTGATTCATAAACCGCTTCTCCCATAGACGTTACGAGAGACTTCCCTGGGTGGAAGTCACGTATGCCATAGCAGCACTGAACTCCTTGTTCCTCTAGTTGCTCTATCACTGGTTCCACGACGGCTTTGTCTTCGCTGCTGTGGGCAATAAATGCGTCGTAGCGAATGGGCTCCAATGAAGAACTGTGGAGTGAAAACACTTGTTTAAATTGGGATTAAATTATCCGGTGTTCTAGGAGTGTAACTTTCAAATTTAAGACGACTAGGATTTAAAAAATGCACCAAAACTAATGCCATATAACACTAACCTCGTATCTTGCTGGTCAGCGGCTGTAGCACCGGATATGTACATGTGCTTCGCAGTGACCAGGGTTCTACAGAGTGCTTCAAATTCATCAGAAGCCATATTTGAAATTACTTTCACCACCTCAGCGTAATAGTCCACTGCCGCTCCTGTAAGAAGATTCTTTTAAAGTAGAGAGGGAAATAATAGGTTACACCTTTTTACGACACTATTAATTATTTTATGTGCTTGACATGAAAAATCATTAAAAGCCCACATCATTAATGAAGTCATACGGTTGGGGAAAGACAATTGAGACTTTAGTTTACTGACACATTTTCTTAATAAATCTTAGCCAAAATTGTTCTCACCATTAGTCTATACAAATGCCCACATAAGTAAACCCGTCATCAAAAACAAATACCTTGTTATTTTTAACCGGTGTGACAGGAATGGAGGTCCGCTAGTCTGTTCTCCATTACTTGTTTGGTGACATTCGTCCCATATACTAACCCCAATTCTCCAAATAACCCTAACCTTTTCTAATCATATGGGAGCCCGGACCTCTGTTCCTAGGACTACCATTCCTGTCACATCGGTTATTTCAGCAACCCTCGTAGTCAGCAGTTTATCGCAGCAACCTTCGTCGGCAGAGGTAATTTCAGCAGCCTTCGCCAGTCACTTGTTTTTAATCATTTTTGAACTGTCATTTTTGCTACATTAATATAAATGTATTATTTTGTCATGTATTTGTTATTGTCTCCTTTGATCTACCGTAATTTCTGCAGCATATGTCCATAAGGTAATATCCCTTTAGTACCTGAAAATAAAACATTAACATAATTAATACTCACTGGAAAGTCGTGCTTGGTTTGCAGCCTGTAACCCAGCCTTTAAATCTCTAATATTTGTACAATTGTTCTTGGTGGCCCACACTTTCAGTTCCTGAACTTTTTGGAATTGAAAGACATCAGGGAAGTTCGAGCTCAGGTTGGTCTGGTTAATGAAGGTATATTCAGCAGGTTCTAATATTTTAGCAAGGTGCTCCAAAGTCTTGGTATGTACATACCCCTGTAAAAATGACAACAATCCAGATATTTTATAGAAACTGGTATAGATGCATGAGATGAAGCCGCTAGTAAAATATCGTCCATGAACACATGGCGTGCGCTGTTATATGCCAGGATATCTGAGCTCTGAACATCTGCCTACAGGGACTGAGACTAAATATTGAACAATATTTCATGTGATATGATATTTTCAAATGAATATATTTACATATTGTTGGAGCACATGGTGTTTTAAAACAAAAATACATTAATGTAAATGTAGATGAAAAATAAACCGCTCAGAATAATTAAGTGATTTAAAAGTAAATTTCCACTGCTGATCGAAACTCAATATATCATGATCCAAAGCTATATAAAGGCTAATTATCTACCAAGTTCACACTGATACATGTATACCTGCATGTCTAGTATTTCTATACGCCTCAACTGCTCTGCTATGCCAGCGTGTCCTCTCTCTTCTGCCAGCGTTTTCGGTGTCTTTCCCTCCTGTAACAGCAGATAAATACAATTATGAGCTGCTCTAGGAGAAAATGATACTCTGGCTTTTGTAGAAACCAACAAGTTAATAGGCAGTTGAAAACAACAGTATATACAGGAAATCCACACATACTGACCAGTACTTGGATATCAATTCACATAAGGAGCATAAGACTCAGTGTAGTTAGAACTTTACACCACGTCACATCAGAATCTACGGAGTTCTGTAAAGAACTGAATCATGTGAATGATGCTTTGAACAGATGTCACTCTCCAAGCTGGTCAATTAGTAAAGTCTCCAACAGCTTCCTAGAACCCACGGATCTAGTACCCTCTACCAGGGTCTCAGTTATTATTGAGGACATTTTTTGCTGAATCGACAGACCAAAATGACTGTCTATTTATCTAGAGACCTATCTGTGAATATCTGTGAAAAATCAATCTGTCGCCCTGGTAGAGGGTACGGATCTAGATTGTCCTCAGAATAAGACCTCTCATAAACATCAAGAGGTCAGAGCTAGGGGCTCGATAGCCATACCTTATGTTAAGGGTTGCGTAGTTTGTACATGTGACGCGTATTAGAAAAGTCGATGTCGGCTTTAAACCACATCAGACGCTGAAGATTCTATGCTACCCTTAGGACAAGACTGACGAAAAGGATATCAACGGCCCCATATACAAAAATAATTAACTAGATGGTGATGATGGGTAGCCATCGCATATCGCCGCACTTCCCCATATTATCAAGAGCAGCTCACCCCTATAGCTAGGAACCACTTACCACACGCTTGTACACACGCACGCGTACGCAAACATATACACACATCACTGCTTCATCCAAAATATTAAAAAAATATGTATATACGTATATATACAATGTGAAAAGAATTTAGAATCAACCAACCCCCAGGGACAGCCCAACCCCCAGTTGCACTGAAATTCAAAAGTGCCCATGCACATTTCTGATGATGGGTATACTAATCACCAAAGTTTCAACTCTCTACCTGCAGTGGTCTAGGAGAATAGCAGAAGCTACAATGTGAAAAGAATTCAGAATCAACCCCTGGGGACAGCCCAACCCCCGGTTGCACTAAAATTCCAAAGTGTATATGCACCTCCCTGATGATGGACCTTCCAATTCCCCTAGTTCCAATTTCCTATCTCTAACGGTCTAGAAGGAGATAGCAGAAATTACAATGTTATAAGTAATTTAGAATCAACCAACCCCAGGGACAGCCCAATCCCCTATGGCACTAAAATTCCAAAGTGCCCATGCACATCCCTTAAGATGGGTCTACCAATTCCCAAAGTTTCAAATTCCTACCTGCAATGGTCTAGGAGCAGATAGCAGAAATTTCAATGCCATAAGAATTTAGAATCAACCACCTCCCAGGGTACAACCCAACCCCCTGTGGCACTAAAATTCTTTAGCGCCCATGAACCTCCCTGATGAGGGTCTACCAATTCCCAAAGTTTCAGTTTCCTAACTTTAATGTTCTAGGAGGAGATAGCAGAAATTACAATGTCATAAGTATTTAGAATCAACCCCCCCCCCCCCCCAGGGACAGCCCAATCCCCTGTGACACTAAAATTCCAAAGTGCCCATGCACATCCCTGATGATGGGTATACTAATCACCAAAGTTTCAACTTCATAACTCTAATAGTCCAGGAGGAGATAGCAGAAATAACAGTGTAAAAAGAATTCAGAATCAACCACCTCCGGGGACAGCCCAACACCCTGTGGCACTAAAATTGCAAAGTGCCCATGCACATCCCTGATGATGGGTAAACTATTCACCAAAGTTTCAGCTTCCTAACTCTGACGGTCTAGAAGGAGATAGCAGAAATTTCAATGTGATAAAAATTTAGAATCATCCACCCCCCAGGGACAGCCCAACAGCCTGTGGCACTAAAATTCCAATGTGTCCATGCACATCCCTGAAGATCGGTCTACCAAATCCCAAAACTTCAACTTCCTACCTGCAATAGTCTAGGAGGAGATAGCGGAAATTACTAACACACAGACGAACGGACGCCCGGACGCACGGACGGTTGGGATAACATGATCCCCGACCTTTTTCCCAAAAGTGCGGGGATAAAAAAATACGTCAATCCACACACACGAGTTGAAATAAAGTGGCATTTTGAAAAGTATAAAGAAATGTACAAACAATACGATAAAACGTGATAACTCACGTTGACGAAATACTTTTATTTCCATAGATTCTTTGAAATAATCAATAATAAGCTAAAACTAACAATCGATCATCGGAGCATGTTAACACCGCTCAATTCTTTTTAATTTTTTTCCCACAGATTTGCTGAAATTAGTACTTATTAACAAAAAAGAAAGATCGCTGTGAAAATGTAAACTTCGACCATCTTCTTCACATAATTTGCATGAAAATATGTAGTCGCACGCAATTGTAGCAATTATTATGTTCAAAGACTATTCTGCACTCACCTTATCCTGTATATTGATATCCGCCCCGTGTTGGAGGAGAAGCTGGGGACATTGTGTGTGGCCTTCAAGGGCAGCCCAGTGAAGTGGTGTCATCCCGAACTGTGGATATGTACAAACAACACGATGATACATGATAATTCATGTTGACGAAATGTGTCTATTTCCACACAGGTTTTGAAATAATCAGCAATAAACTAAAACAATCAATCATCGTAGCAATTGATCATTGTGTGTGGGGGTACCGGGCAGCCCAGTGAAGTGCTGTATACCCGTCCTGTGGATATGTAAAAAATGTGATTAAATAATAATAATTAATTTTGAAATTAAAAAAAAATGTTTTTTCCGGATTCTCAAACGTGAGTTGAAATAAATGGTCATTAAGAAGATCGCTTTAAAAAGTAAACTTCAATGATTTTCTTTACATGCTTTGCAGGAAAATGTGTAGTCTTACGCAAGTGTAGCAATTATTATGTCTACAGACTATTCTTACACATTGTGTGTGGCCGTTACTAGCAACCAAGTGAAGTGGTGTCCACCCAACCTGTGGATATGTACAAACAATGTGATTAAACAAAAATTTATTTCGAAATAAAAAACATGTTTGTTCCCTCGCATGCACTGGATTAAATACTATAAACAAACAAGGCAGCAAAGCTGTNTTATTATTTTTTTCCAAAAAAAAAAAAAAAAAAAAAAAAAAAAAAAATTCTAATTTCAAGAGGAGACCATTCGTCTGATATTTTTTCAGAAACAGAAAAGGGGTCAGGAGCCCCCTGACACCCCCCCTTACATCCACCTCTGATGTTAGTCCCAAAATGAACTGATTTGACTTTTTCCAACAGGGAGTAGGGCTGTCCTTGGGGATGGTTGATTCTTAATTTGCAGGCCCGTAGCCAGCAATTTCAAAGGGGGGGTTCTTTTTCTGAAAAAGTGGACCTTTTACCAAATAATCCCCATATACCTAGGTCAAATTTTACCCAGAGTGGACCTTTTCCCAGCAAAGAGAGGGGTTCTTTCGAACCCCCCGAACCCCCCCTGGCTACGGGCCTGATTTGTTACATTGTATTTCTGCTACCTCCTTCTATGCCATTAGAGTTAGGAAATTTCGGTATTTCAATATTGAAAAATAGAATTAATAATTTATTATCAGGGATGTGCATGCATTGGCACTTAGGATTTTCTGTGTAACTTAGGGTTGGACTTTCTCCAATTCTGTCAAATTCCAATTTCTGGTATTTCATAATAGACCATGAGTGAGTATAATCGCACTTTGGATATTGTGAGACCATCACTAGAGCACTTTGAGTTTGTATTTTAGTGCAACTGGGGGTTGGGCTGTCCCTGGGGGTGGTTGAATTTTCTTTTAAATTATTTTAATATTGTAATTTTTGCTTAGGTCTATATCTATACAGGCAATGGACTAAAACAAACAATCGATCATTGTAGCATGTAAAATCCGCTCAGGTCCTACTTGCCTAAGTGTAAATGAAGCTTTAATGCTGTGCTAAAACTATTCCACACTAACCTTATCCTGTATACTGGTATCCGCCCCGTTTTGGAGGAGAAGCTGGACACATTGTGAGTGGCCTCTAAGGGCAGCCAAGTGAAGTGGTGTCGATCTATCCTGTAGATATGTACAAACAATGTGACTCAGCAATGATAATTTATTTTGAAATAAAAAAACTTCTTTGTTCCCTCATATGCATTGAAAAAAATACTATTAACAATAAATAAACGTTATGTACTATAGACTATTCTGCACTAAATTGTGGACAAAACATAATCGTCTCCAAGTATAAATGAACCCATAATGCTGTGCTTTGACTATTCTGCATGCACTTCATCCTGTATACTAGTGTCCGCCTTATATTAAAGGAGAAGCTGAACACATTCCGTCTGGCCACACCGGACAGCCCAGTGAAGTGGTGTATATACCCATTCTTTGGGTATATACACAGAATATGATTAAAGATAGACCATTCATAGCACATAAATACCAGGGGGGATCCAGGTTCATTTGAACAGGGTCCGTTTCTTTTTTTTTTTTTTTTAAGTTTCACAGGTCTTGGAAGCCGACCCTCTTCCCCTTGGCGTGGGGTTCGGGGCCAGTTCAAAAGCTATGATTCGGCTAGTCAAAATTATAATTAAAATTTTAATGTTTTTTTCTTTTGGCAATTCTTTTACTCTGCTCTTTTGTGAGCGAGTTTGTGAATTTGTTTGTAGTAAATTTTTGTTTGTTCACAATTTTACGAATTTCCGTTTCAAATTATATTAGCACTTACATGCAGATGTTACAGGGGCGGATTCAGGATTATTTGATGGGGGGGGTCTACAGATTCGAAGCCGCCTCCCCCACCTGGCGTGGGGTTGGGGGCCAGCTGACGGGCCTCGAAAAAATTTACCAAACGCTACGGTATAGCACTATGATTAAGCTGGTCAAAATTCTAATTTCAAGAGGAGACCATTCGTGTGATATTTTTTTCAAAAACAGAAGAGGGGTCAGGAGCCCCCTGACAACCCCCTAAATCAACCTCTGATGTTAGGCCCAAAATAAACTGATTTGACTTTTTTCAACAGGAAGTAGGGTTGTCCTTGGGGATGGTTGATTCTTAATTTGTTACATTGTATTTCTGCTAGCTCCTTCTATGCCATTAGAGTGAGGAAATTTCGGTATTTCAATATTGAAAAATAGAATGAATAATTTATTATCAGGGATGTGCATGCATTGGCACTTAGGATTTTCCGTGTAACTTAGGTTTGGACTGTCTCCAATTCTGTCAAATTCCAATTTCTGGTATTTCATCCTAGACCATGAGTGAGTAAAATCGCACTTTGGGTATTGTGAGACCATCACCAAAGCACTTTGAGTTTGGAGTTTTAGTGCAACTGGGGGTTGGGCTGTCCCTGGGGATGGTTAAATATTCTTAATTATTTTAATATTGTAATTTTTGCTTAGGTCTATTTCTATACAGGCAAAGGACTAAAACAAAAAATTGATCATTGTAGCATGTAAACCCGCTCAGTTCCTACTTGCCTAAGTGTAAATGAAGCCATAATGCTGTGCTAAGACTATTCCACACTCACCTCATCCTGTTTACTGAATGTGATTCGAGATAGACCATTCATAGCACATAAATACCAGGGGGATCCAGGTTCATTTGAACAGGGTCCGTTTTTTTTTTTTTTTTTTTTTTTTTTTTTTTTAGTTTCACAGGTCTTGGAAGCCGACCCTCTTCCCCTTGGCGTGGGATTGGGGGCCAGTTCAAAAGCTATGATTCGGCTAGTCAAAATTCTAATTAAAATTTTAATGTTTTTCTGGCAATTCTTTTACTCAGCTCTTTTGTAGGTGAGTTTGTGATTTTGTTTGTGGGTGGTAAACCCCGCTCAGTTCATACTTGCCTAAGTGTTAATGAATCCATAATGCTGTGCTAAGACTATATCACTCACCTTATCCTGTATACTGGTATCCGCCCCGTTTTGGAGGAGAAGCTGGACACATTGTGTGCGGCCTTTAAGGGCAGCCAAGTGAAGTGGTGGCCGTCCATACTGTGGATATGTACAAACAATGTGACTAAGCAATGATAATATATTTTGAAATAAAAAAAAAACAAACATTTGTTCCATTACATGTATTGAAATGAATAATATAAACAAAAAATAAATTTAATGTAGCAATTATTCTGTCTAAAGACTATTCTGCACTAAATTGTGGACAGTACTGTATATAGTCGTGCCTAAGTGTAAATGAACCCATAATGCTGTGCTTAGACTATTCTACATGCACCTCATCCTGTTTACTGGTATCCACCCAGTGTTAAAGGAGAAGCTGAACACATTCCGTCTGGCCACACCGGACAGCCCAGTGAAGTGGTATATATACCCATTCTTAGGTTGTGTACATATAATGTAATTAAACATAAACCATTCATATCACATAAATACCAGAAGGGATCCAGGTTCATTTGAAGGGGGTCCGTTTTTTTAAAGTTTGACAGGCCTCGGAAGCTGACCCTCTTCCCCTTGGCGTGGGGTTCGAGGCCAGTTCAAAAACAATGATTCAGTTAGTCAAAATTCTAATTAAAATTTTAATGTTTTTTCCTTTTGGCAATTCTTTTACTCTGCTCTTTTGTAAGCGAGTTTGTGAATTTGTTTGTGGGTTGTAAACCCCGCTCAGTTCCTACTTGCCTAAGTGTAAATGAAGCCATAATGCTGTGCTAAGACTATTCCACACTCACCTCATCCTGTATACTGGTATCCGCCCCGTTTTGGAGGAGAAGCTGGACACATTGTGTGTGGCCTTCAAGGCCAGCCAAGTAAAGTGGTGTCCGTCCATACTGTGGATATGTACAAACAATGTGATTAAACAATGATAATTTATTTCAGATAAAAAATATGTTTGTTCGCTAACATGCATTGGAATAAATACTATAAACAAAAAATAAACTTAATGTAGCAATTAATTATTCTGTCCATAGACTATTCTGCACTAAATTGTGGACAGAATATAGTCGTGCCTAAGTGTAAATGAACCCATAATGCTGTGCTTAGACTATTCTACAAGCACCTCATCCTGTTTACTGGTATCCACCCAGTGTTAAAGGAGAAGCTGAACACATTCCGTGTGGCCACACCGGACAGCTCAGTGAAGTGGTTTATATACCCATACTTTGGACATGTACATAGAATGTGATTAAGCATAGACCATTTACATCACAGAAAGACCAGGGGCGGATCCAGGTCCATTTGAAGGGGGTGCGTTTTTTTAGGTTTGATTGCATGCATTGGCATTTAGGATTTTCCGTGCCCCTGGGGGTTGGACTGTCCCGGGGATGTAGTTTGGGTGGGGGGGGGGGGGGGGAGGGGAGGGGAGGTGACTCTGATTTTTTTTAATTGCAGTTTCTGGTATTTCATCCTAGACCATGAGTGAGTAAAATCGCACTTTGGGTATTGTGAGACCTATCATCAGAGCACTTTGGAACTTTACTGCAACTGGAGGTTAGGGTGTCCCTGGGGGTAGTTGGTTATTATTAATTCTTTTTATAGTGTAATATTTGCTTTATCCTCCTAGACGATTGAATTTTGGCACTGATAGAATTATATTCATGCATGGACACTTGGGAATTTCTGTGCACCTTGGGGTTTAGCCGTCACTGGTGGCTGGGGGTGGGGGTGGATGACACTTAATTCTTTTCACATTTTAATTCATGTTTACTCCTCCTGAGCCATTAAATTGAATAATTTCAGTCCTTGATATTGGCAGACTCTATCGTCACAGATGCACTAGTACATGGGCCCTTGGGATTGGGCTAGCTGTCCCTGGGTACAGAGGAATGTGTACATGCTGACAGGGAGGTCACAAAGACCATTAGTTATCTGTTGGAATATATTTACAATAAATATACCCGTACTGTAATATAGGACAATAAATGAATGACAGCATAAATTGTTTAGAGTGATTGAGTTTCACTAATCTATTCCAGCGTGAGCTTCAAGATCTTTTACGTGTAGCCACTCTCTTAAACAAAATTTGAAATGAGTCGTTTGTAATAATTAGATGAATATTTTCATCTTGTTCCGTAAATGCAATAGCGGGTCCTTAATAATTTGACAATGAAGTGACTAGTTGTAGAGTAATTTAAGTTATTACCCAGTCCCGGACATTGATGTCGCACTCCCCGGCAGTCAGCAGTTCCTGTAAACTCTTTATATCTCCATGCCGTGCAGCCTCGAGAGGCCTTCTGTTAGCCATACTGGCTGGTTGCTATACAGTGGATAGGCCTATAGAGAGCAAGAACATGCTATATCTGATATAATACAATGAATAAAATAATAATTTTTTATTTAACTAATATATAAAGATCACATGTAAAATATACTGGCTGGTTTCTATACCGTGGATAGGCCTATAGAGAGCAATAACAAGCTATATCTGATATAATACAATGAATAAAATAATAATTATTTATAAAAGTAATATATAAAAGTATATATGTCATATGTAAAATATACATACGATATTTAATTCTGACGGATCTGTACAGAGTGAAATAAAAGTATAATAATGATAATGATAATAACAATCATATCACGTGTTTCATCTTTAATAATAATAATAATAATCCTTTGACCCCTCCTCCCCCTCCCTTGAAATTTCTAGATCCGCCAGAGAAATATCGTAGTATTCGTCAGAAATTTCACAAATACTTTAAAAATAAAGAAACTGCAAAAACTTTAAGAAAGGTTACACAAATTCAATAATGTTGATTTAGTTAACTAATATAGGGGCCATACTCATAAATACTTCTCCTTCTCTCTCTCTCTCTCTCTCTCTGTGGAGGGGGTGAATGCACGCGAGTGTGTGCATGTGTGTGTATGTGTGTGTGTGTGTGTGACGTGCCAATGCATAATTAATACATCGATATTCGTTATTTCTAATTAAAAATGAAAAATTTCATATTTACAAAGGCTTAAGTTTTACCAGTAGAAATGTGGGAAAATGCCGTAATAGTCAAAAGAGCTAATTCAAATCGTTTATATCTAAGCACTGTTTATGTCTTTACATAACAACAATCCACGTTCAAACAGAAAGTAACCTAGCTTTAAATTTTCTTATTTTGCATGATCACTAGTGGAAAACGATTAAAATTTTGTTGCTGTCGGGTCAGGAATGTTTAACCCAAATGTTAACAACACTGATATCCCTAGTACAGCTAGTTGGGTATCTCTCGTTCTCATTGAAATGGTTGACATATAACTTCAGAATTTCGTTATATATCATGAACTTTATACATTTTAACGCCCCGTGTAAATGGCTACCCATATCTATTATTACAAATGTCGAGGGTATTTTTAAGAGAACTCCCCTACTGTTTAAGAGAATTCCCCAACTGTTGACGTACGCGTTCTCAAATAACGCGATAATGGAGTTGAAAGACGTATATTGTCTAATGGATCACATATCTATGGTGTTAAGCTTGAATTGTTTAGGTGTTATACATATCTAAAAAATACTGACCTATGAGAAATTGAAAATCTATAATACATGTAAAATACTGGTACAGCGGCAGGTCGTAATAGGGCACAGTGGGTCACACGCTCTCCCTTAGCTTGCTGCAGGTACTACCCCCTGCCAAAAATAATACACCAAACGGAAGGAGACAAATCCAAGAATTTTCCATCCGTCTGGCCTATTCATATGTGTGTGTGTGTGTGTGTGTGTGAGATAAGCCCCCTTACACCGTCGTTTTTCTTTTGAAATCTTCAAAAATAACACACGTATGTTCCCCTGTAAACGTTTACGTGGTTGAAGTGACACCTGGATTTTTCTTTAATTTCAATCGTAGCAAAAATTACACGCACTGCTACTTCTATACAAAAATACACGTACTGCAGAAACAAATATGTAAATATGGTTTGCTGTGTTCTCCACTCCCACTGGTTCAACATATGTATATATTGGCCCTCCTTAAACCTTCTAAATGAACTCATTTATACCCTGTTTCGTTATTAATGTAACTATTGGGACATGTTGTAGCTAGGCTATTTAAGATGGTATTATTTCAATTATTTTATTTTTATCTCATAAATGCTGCACCTTGTCAATATTTTTCTCAAATGTTGTATCTTGAGCTTTAAACTCGAGTACATTCACATGTTAACATATACATGTACTTGTGCAAACAGAAAGTAAAGCCAAATTTCCCACTTTGATCAGTAAGGGCAAACACTTCCAATTCTTTACGATATCGTGCTACGGATTTTTACCTTCTCTCTTGATATCCTGATTCCAGCTGTGTTAATGCAACTATTAATTATTAGTCCAATATTCTAATTTCAACTATTAACGTTTAAGTCTATATATAAGTACTGTTAATCTCTTTACAAATGCACATGGAAACAGAAAGTAACGCCAAATTTCCCAGTTTGCTCACCAAGGGCAAACATTTCCAACCTTAATGATGTATTGGGACGGGATTTTACGAAATATTAACAACACTGTGATGAAGCCCAAGTACAACTGGCGTTATGTCTATCGTTCATATTAATGAAATTGAGATATTGCTTCAGAATTACGTAAAATATCTTAAACTCACCTGTTACATGCACAAATGACCATAAAAATGGCGACTATTGATCTAAAAAATGACTAGCAGTTGTTGACGTCATTGTCTCGGCAAACAGAATCGTTTGCTTGAAACAACTTTATTAGCCAATGTAATTATGATATATATTGATTATAATTATGGTATCAATACCTTTGATTTGCTTTTGTGCAATTCGCTAAACAAGAAAGTAACAAACCTTTAATTTTGGTGACACGAACCTTATGTGAACTACGTCTGCAGGCGGCAATTATGATGGCATGAAAAAAAAATTTATTAAAGCTAGAAGATTGAACACGCCTGTGTCGATGCAGCCAAAAATGTCCACAATAATAACTGAAACCCTGGTAGAGGGTAGCACAATCCATCTCCTCCGGTTCCCTATATGTTACCCCCCCCCCAATAGCTTCTCTAGGGGGCAAGCCAGATAATTCAGCTGATAACATTGACAGCTGAGAATCCGTGCTGAGATATATGGATCCAGCTAGAACGATAACAATTACTGGGACACGACCTTAGCTACAGACGATGGTTTCCATTCAGTTTCCACTCTATTGAAGTAGCGACGACGACGAATTTGGAGCTTTCCAACGTTTATTCACCAGCTAATTTTTCATACAAATCCAGATATTTATACTCTGTTACTCCGTGCTAATCAAGCAATTACTTATTTTCGTTCTGATGTATTTTGCGTGCTTACCAGAAATTTTCCATTATCATGTTTCATTCCGCGATCCATTCAATATTTCCATATGAGTTATTTTCTAAGATATTTTTACCATTATGAAAATCTAAAAATTATTTGAATTTCTCATGTTTGTGTCATATCCAAAAATTAGTTGGCGTGTGCTATGCACGTGATAGAAACTTACAATCTATTATGAAATTAACCAATTAAATCAAATAATATGTGACTTTGGCAAATCCCATCGTTTGCTAACTCTAAAAAGTTTCTACACTTGTTTACTCTAAAGGCAATTAAACTTGCACTCGATAACATCCCTTTAAACCACGGCTAGCACGTAGCACAAAAGACTCGGCCGTGGTGTATTCGACATACAAGCACGTCATGTACGAGTGCGTTCCACGGTCTGTTGCACTAATAGTGTAGTAGCCAATCAGAGGCCGTGTTTAAGCCAGATACAACACTCGTCGCCGAGCTGTACGTGAAAATTACTCGTGTATTGTCTAGCTTGCGGCTCGCCAATACACTCGTAATATTTCACGTACAGCTCGGTGACTCGTATTGTATATATCACATCACGGCCCCACTTTGATCAATTAGGGCAAAAACTTCCATACTTAATGGTATTGTGCAACGGATTTTTACCTTTTCCCTTGATATTAAGATTCCTATGTTAATGCAACTATTAAGGATCCCATTATTCCAATCTTCTAATTTCAATCATTAACGTTTAAATTCATACATAAGTACTTTTAATATCTTAACAAATTTATATGCAAACAGAAAGTAACGCCAAATTTCCCAGTTTGCTCACCAAGGGCAAACATTTCCAACCTTAATGATGTATTGGGACGGGATTTTACGAAATATTAACAACACTGTGATGAAGCCCAAGTACAAGTACAACTTGTTCTATGTCTCACGGTCATATTGATATAGTTTATATATTATTACTTCAGAATTTCGTAAAAAAATCATAAACTTACCTGTTACATGTACAAATGACCGTAAAAATGGCGACTATTGATCTATAGAAATGTTGTTGTTGACGTCTTTTTTTCTTCAAATAGAATCGTTTGCTTGAAACAACTTTATTGGCCAATGTAATTATGATATATATTGATTATAATTATGGTATCAATACCTTTGATTTGCTTTTGTGCAATTCGCTATACAATAAAGTAACAAACCTTTAATTTTGGTGACACGAACTTTATGTGAGCTACGTCTGCAGGCAGCAATTATGATGGCATGAATTTTTTTTTATTAAAGCTAGAAATTTGTACACGCCTGGGTTTCTCGTCACGATGCGCTTTTTCCCTTTTCTTCCAATATATATTCAGTCTAGATCCCCAAAATTCAGGTAACACGCCTCGGGTTTTGTGTAAAATGGTTAATCACTGAAATTTTTTCTCGTTAAATGCATGGAAACGAACAATGTACAATGTAAAATAAAGATAAACATGTAGTATACACTCATTTCATCTCGCCTCTTATCCATCACACCCAGGAAATATCACATTACCGTCTAGCTATTAAAAAACAAGACTACTGGTACGTGCAAGATCGATAACTGATTTAATTCTCGTAAGATTACCATCCGCCCCCTTCCTTATGAATAGGTATTACTGTATTAATACAATGCAACCGACGTGTAGCCGCAAGTTAGAAGACAATGTGTGATTACGCACAGCAGTATGAGGCCGCTACCCCTTCCCAGCAAGGGGTCAACTAAACCGCAAGTTAGAAGACAATGCGTGATTACTCACAGCAGTAGGAGGCCGCTACCGCTCCCCAGCAAGGAGTCAACACAGCAGCGCGTAACCTGGGCTTAATTAGGGGTTATTGGCTGTCCACTTATGATCGGTATTGTTCGTCACTTCCTACTCACTATTGGCAATTGGAAACTTTGGCAATCATAAGTAACATGGTTTTCCCATAATGGTCATAAGGCAGCAGCTCCCAAAATTGTGTTTTCTTCTATTCTGATGCAATATTACATAATGGTTAACAGCATAATGACAATCAATTTTTAATAATAAAATATACGTATCATGGATTTTCAGAAAATGTGACTAGCATGGGTCTTCAAGCCTGTGGAACTTCAAAGTCACACCTTGAAAATGCCAATATGTGAAAGATTAAATTTTCACAAAAAAACTGTTTAACTGGCAGAAAGAATTACCAAACAGATTGCATTGCCTACTGAAGCTGTATTTTAGTCCCATGTTTCTTTCCTGTAAGTTTGAGAACAGTAAGTGACATGGTTTTTCTTAAATGGTCATCATGGGAGCAGTGCCCAAAATATTTTTTTTTTCAAATTTTGATGCAATATTACATAATGTTTAACAGCTTAATGACCATCAATTTTTAATAATAAAATATTAGTATCATGGATATTCAGAAAATGTGACTAGCAAAGTCTTCAGGCCCATGGAGCTTCAAAGTCACAACTTGTAAATGCCAAAATGTAAACAAGACAGCACTGTTCTGAAATGTTTTTTTTTTTTCCATTTTTAACAAGTTTTAACATAAAACAAAATTAGCAGTTTACTGCCATTTTTATAAGATCAACTAAAAAATTGATGAGATGGGAAAAATATCAATAGAGCAGTGTTAAATGTCCAATTTCTTCCATTCTGAGATTCTGAACATATTGAATGATTGAATCTGACAAACTGCAATGATATGAATTTATTTCCATTTTTGACACTTTATTACACAATACACGATAACAAGTTTACCATCATTTTTACAAAATCAACTAACAATGTTGTAAAGATGCAGGAAGTGTCAAGCAAACACTTTTACGTATCTTATTAATTACAGCAGATAATATTTATGAAGTGACCCCCGAGGACCAGTATTCGGATTATGCCAGCATCTTANCCATGGAGCTTCAAAGTCACAACTTGAAAATGCCAAAATGTAAACAAGACAGCACTGTTCTGAAATGTTTTTTTTTTTTTCATTTTTAACAATTTTTAACATAAAACAAAATTAACAGTTTACTGCCATTTTTATATGATCAACTAAAAAAAATTGATGAGATGGGAAAAATATCAATAGAGCAGTGTGAAATGTCCAATTTCTTCCATTCTGAGATTCTGAACATAGTGAATGATTGAATCTGACAAACTGCAATGATATGAGTTTATTTCCATTTTGACACTTTATTACACAATACACGATAACAAGTTTACCATCATTTTTACAAAATCAACTAACAATGTTGTAAAGATGCAGGAAGTGTCAAACAAACACTTTTACGTATCTTATTAATTACAGCAGATAATATTAATGAAGTGACCCCCGAGGACCAGTATTCGGATTATGCGAGCAACTTACCGCAGAATATGAACGCATAACCAGAAGCTGCAAAGGCCCCCCCCCCCAAAAAAAAAAAATAATAAATTAGTAAACTCCCATTCGCTTCCCTTATGTTGATGCAAAGAAGACGACAGTAGATATCTACATGTTAGGTTGACTCAACCTGAGGAATGGAAGTTTTAAAACCTGTTAACTTAAGGTTCAGAGAGGCAGCTCCCCCCCCCATCAATACTCCCACCTTCCAGCCTGTATACATGTAATTTAGAGACACAATACTAGCGGACATTCTCTATACCGTTTAACAGCAGATTACTAAAACAAAGACAAGAAATACATAAACAGGCAAAAAGGATCATTATAAAATGATGATTCATCGGATGTTGGAACACACTGATACGAATGGCGCAATCATGTATTTGGAGTTTTATACGGTCATTTTGTAGGCCTATACTTTAGTTTCCATCGGGATTTTATCATTATATTTATGTATTTATACTATATTTATTTGTGAATACACGTACAGTTACCTGTACAAAATATATGCCATAGCTTGACACGTGCATTTATACATTTAGTTTTATATATACAAGTAAAAACATATGTTTGTACTACCTCTTGTCCTACAGAACCTTTGGCTGGAGAGGGTTCTGGGGGGGGGGTCTCTATAAACATAATACTTGTGGCCTATTTCTCTTGCTCCCATTCCTTTAATAAGGAACATTTAACTTTACCTTCCCTTAGGGTCTAGATGAGTTCCGCCGACGAAACAGAAAATTGGATTGCAAGAACTGTAGGATTTCAGCCGCCCTCCCTAGCATTTTTTCAACCTACGAAACTGTTTCTGTTATTGTACATAATGCAATGCTTCCTAACAATTACTATTTCAATTGCCGCAACTATTGATGACGGTATTACTGTAATAAAGTATTATTTAAAACATCATTCACAAGTGAGTGAATGTGGTTAGTCATCCAGAAGAACAAAAATGATAGATATGAATAAGGCTGATACTGGAACTTGCCCTTAGAAACTGACCGCCGTTGCGCACATATGGAACGGGAAACTGGAGACCTTTCCCAGCCGTATGACAATAAATCCGGTGCCCACTCCATCTAGGTCATTTAGCTAGTGAAAATCCTCAGGTTGAGACAGCAACGTCGGTCAGTTGCTAAATGTAAGTTCCCGTATCAGAGGTATTCTTATTTATCATCATTCACATTTATGGCTATAATCTTTATTTATGGCTATAATCTTGTCACATTGTGTGTTAGACCTTAATGAAGCCCAAAAATTCTGGAATTTCATCAAATATCCTTTAATTATGCGATCCCAACCTGTAAACTTGCTTAATTGTGAGTTCTACATGTAAATGTATGTGTTCGCCAGTTTACATCGCCATCACCACAGCAACTCAAAAATGCACATGATTTACCGGTGTGACAGGAATGGAAGTCTGGGCACCCATGTTATTAGTTTAAGTTAAGTCATTGTATTGGATTTAGTATATGGGACACATAAGAATGTACAAAGTAATGGGAAAAGGACTGTGGTTCTTAGCGGTCTACCATTCTTATCACATCGGGTTTAAATTCCAAGAAAGTTCCTTTTTTGTTAAAATTGTCTAACTTGGATTTCATTGTGCAGGCCATTTACTATTTTTGTTCTCTATTGTATACATTAAAAAGTACTGATACTGTAATGAAAGTATATCGTATGTGTTTGGAAGGCCTTGGGACTTTGTAGACAACTGAAATAAACATAATTATCGTCTATGATGATTCCTGTTCAGCGTTCGCGTGTGTCGAAAACTTGTCAATTATAGTGAATTCAGTAGGTCTTATTTTCATTTTTGAGTTACACTTCAATAAGCCGATTTTACTTACTCCATACAACTAAGCAACCTCGTCTGTCTTGCAATACAGTAGGCTATATTGGAAGCAACATAGCATCTCCATACCATTTTAAATTTCCTTGGGTTACAAATAATAATAAGCTTAAAAACCGTAGTGTTAATAGTTTTCCCAATGAGGTATGTGGTTTATACTTTATTGTGAAGTTTTTTGTTTAAATGAACATCGACGTGGATTAATTGGCCATGATAATGACAAAATACCCCGTTTAATGAAATATATAGTAAAGGAAATGAGTTAAGCCATAAATGAGACTTTTATGAACATTTTAAAATACACGGGCGAATAACGGTCCCCTAGATCTCTGGGCCCTTCTTTTACTAGCATAACTTTATTTATTTTTTTAATTTTATTATCTTATTTTATTTTATTTCATTTAATTTATTTACAAAGTAGAAATACATAGATGTACATCGTAAGTCAAGGTAGCGCCCTGAAGTTGAGAAGAAATACCAGACAAACACGTATCTGTGGTCCTGAAACTTTTCTGTTTTTATTTCTACAGTGTAGATTTATATGTTACATAAGAATCTCCATTACAATTGAAAATAATTTCTGAAGCAAAGTTCGAAAGTAGCAATGTAATATTTTGCTCAATGCTGACGCAGTACATACACTTCAAATAAAGTATCAGAACCTTTTTTCACCCAAATAAGCTAGCAGTCTTACAGAAAGTAAGTGGAAAGTAAAAAATTTATGATGTCAGTCATTTTTTAATCTGTTTACACACTTTTTTTTAATTTCCTAATAACATGACACGCTAATGTATATAATTTTGCGCATGAGTGTTTCTAACATCGTGAGAATCGTTAAAACACAAAAAAATGTTTTATCTAATGTATAGCCTACAGTCTTCACTATTATACTACCCCCCCCCCCCAAAAAAAAAAAAATGCTTATTATGTTCATGCGTTAAAGAAACTGAATATTTCTTGAATGGACAAGCAGGCAGTGCAATGAGAAAAGCATCCCGACACTTGATAAAGCACGCAATAGAAGTGTGTGGATTTAGGGAAATAATATCTACTTTTTACTGCCGGGGATTTCAGTTGGTTTGGCGTCAGATCGAGTCTCGCGAATAGTAAATGACCTAAACCTAAAGCCATCATTAAACTGCTCAAATTCATACACCCATTGCCACAAACACAGGGTGCTGTATTCTTTAGTTACAGTAATGGTTCTCTCAATGGTACTTTCTGCCTTCCATTGCTGTTCGTCGGTGGTTGTGAAAGAGCCCCCATAGGTGGCGCTGGCCTCTACAATACCTTTTGCAACTCCCACTGATAGCTCCCAAGTGTTGGTAAGAGACGAAGAGGAGGTCTTGCTCGTGCCGATGGTCATTGTGAACTTCAAAGAGCCGACGTGGACATTGTACCAACAAGAGACCTTTTGCCATTCTCCTTTCACTTGTGGGTTTGGAATCACCTGCACCTTCTGATTTGGGTTACCCTTTTGTACAAAGTCAAACTTAATATTTCGGTGCAGTCCTGAGTGAAGCATCAAGTCAGAGTGCCAATTCGGCCTTTCTGCTTGATAAGGGTACACGTGGACGTACTTGCCGCCGGAATGTTTGATGATGCCTTTTTCTTGGTCAATCGCGAAAAGCGCGGAATTATAGCAGTTCGGATGCGGGAAAAGTGCAGTGTTGTCCCCAGGACTGGCCCAGCCTCCAAGGGGGTTCATACAATGTCCACCGGTTCCGACGATCCTAAGGTAGCCCCAATGTCCCTCTTTCTGCACCCATTCCACTTCCGCTGCATTGCTGCAGGAGTCGGCACGGAATTTCTCATAGTGATGGCCCCACGCCCACCAATCTGCATAAGCATAGCACAAGCCACTGGACCGATGCTTTACGATGAACCGCGGACTGGTGTAGGCTTCTGTAACAAAAAAATTAATAGATTTATGATAGAGACCATTGGACTTACGATGTGTTGGTAAGTGTGGATATTGTTCCCAACACCGCATATAGGCCTACCGCCACTTGGGGTAAGATTTTTCAGAATTGAAATGACTGTTGTGATAACTGGAATTAGAATCTTGTTATAGAAAAAAAAAAAGATTGAGAATTTGATGCAAATCGGCTCACAAAAAAAAAAGTAGATGATGGCAATTTGCCAATCGCCTCTGCATCCTCACTACAACTTACCCACGGTAGCTGCCAGCGCCAGACACAGCAGCGTCAGAGAAAGGAGTAGGTGCATGGTGAACTTCAGAGGTACGGGTCTTCCTGCAGCGAATGGAGAGCCCTTTACTGGTTCCTTGTGGTGCTTTCGTCTTCAGAGGTGGACGTGCCGAGAGGCTCTTCAGTCGAGCGAATTTATATACAGCAATATGCGGTCTTGGCTGAAATAGAGCCCTTCCTCAATTTTCCAAAAAAAAAAAGCACTTAACTCACATCATTGTTACCATGAAGGCTGTGTGATAGGTTATAATTTGATAGTCTATTTACATGAGTGACAATCAGTTTACAGTAATAACTGGGACTTTTATTTGTGGGTTATTTTCTCTAGCACACACCTCGTGATCGCGCAAGTCCAAAGGGAAATCTCAAACATTTGGCATGATGGAGTAGAGAGGTACATGTTAAAGCAGATGTGTTCAATTTACAGAACTGATACAAAATCCAAAATGCAGTTTTAAAAACAGCAGCCCCAACAGCGATTTTGTAGAATCAAATTCTCGAACTAACATACATTATTATGAGGTTTCTTATGCCCCGATTTGATGCATACTAAAATGGGGGCATTATTAAGATCTGTACCTGTTGTATATTTCATGGGCTTATTTGGGGCGAAAAAAAAACAAGGTTTGTACATGTAAGTACTCTGTGCAAGTATTATTTGACGTGCATTGTGTATAAAAGAGAGAAAATACCAAAATTATTAATCTACTCCATGTTCTCACGCCTTGGGAGTTCAACTCCCTTGGTTTAGGGATGCCTCAGCCCCGTTACTGTATTTTAGATATTTTATGTTGCCTTAAAAAAAGAAGTGTAGAAGGCAAAATTTTCATCGTTGTGAGCCCAAAATCAATTACCACCCAATATGCAATCTATTTACCATTTCCGTTAATGGCTACATTAAGGTCGTTATCTTATCTTTTTCTTTGGTAAAATTTAGAGGTAAATTTCCGACTCTATTTCCACACTTATTTAGTACTAATAATTGCACATACTCAATTAATATCCAATCCGAACGTCAATAAAATGTCACTGTCTACCAATTTACTTCCCTGGAAATGAAACGGATTTTAATTGACAATTATGACAATAATTCAAATGGTTTATAATGCATAGCTCTTGTGTTTCATCGCTTATTGTAAATACATCAAATAAGAAGGACTCACTGATACGTGCAGTAGATTTGTGGGTTTAGATCTTATGGATATTAAAAAAAACTTTTATCCAACTGCCACATCTCTTTTCAGAAGTAAAACCATATATTTTTTAACCAATAGCTTTTAAAAAAGTCAAACCTTTTTTATTATTTTGAGCCAGTTACATCTAAATGTTTATATTATAGCGGTTTGTCTTTCTCTTGGTAGGGTGCGTGGACCTCAAATTTGAGTTAGAACGGTCCAAACACCGGCGTTGAACATCAGAACTGAACATGCCTTTTAGAAGGTAATTACCGTGTAATTGTATGTGCAAGTTATAGGCCTGTGTACTACAAACTTGTGGTTAATGACTATCGCAGTCTCATTAAAATGTACAGAATAGAGTCAAAACTCGTTAAAGTCACCAAATGTCACTTTTTCTGAAATGTTCGTGAGCAATGAACACAGTTTACATTTTGAGCAGAGATCAGTTAGCACATTGAACCGTTTTTGCGTAACTGTTCACAGCTGAAATGTCCTCATTTCTTCCTTCATATCTCTGCCACAGCATATCCACGAAGGTCGCTATGTTTTCCCTTCAACGTCATAACGATCTTAGCAGAACAATTCACAATGGTAACGGTGTCTTTGCTAAAACCCCCTTTACGCTGGACGGCGTCCTTTCTGCGTCCTTTCTGCGACCATGAAATTTGGCATCGCTCTAGCACAGGTCTCAAACTACTGCGCATGCGCGAAAATTGCGCTGTTTGAAATAAACAAATGGTGTTTACCGTCTGGTTGATTTGGTTTAATTTGCTTTCTGGTGTTGTTTTGAGAAATTGTATTAGAAATATTCTGTTGATTGTATGTTTTTAAAAGCAAATCCATCGGACTTTCCTGATTTACATTGATTTTGCCCTCATTGTAAGGGGGATTCCCTTCGCATTTATAGTGTTATATGTGGCCCCAGGGGGATTTTCCACCCCTTTCCCACTCTTGATTAATAAAATTCTTCATCTGGAGGATTGTGAATTATATTGAAAAATACATTGAAAATCGTAGAAAGGTTAACTGCAGATAATGCTGCAAGGATATTCTTAACAGTGGGGGAACTCGGCCAATATAAAATTTTTAACTTCGTTTTTCGATTTTGGAGCGCTTGTTCTAATTTTTGAAAGCGAGGAAATGGAACCAAACAATGCGATACAATTTGTAATCTCGTAAAAATTGCTATTTTTATATAAAGGTCACAGCATGGAGTACATCGAAATGCGACTTGTTTATTATTATGATCTTAAATAATAATTAATATAAAACAAACGATATAATACGTTCTTAACGTTAGCCTATTTATTAGCTTAATTGATTTTTTTTTCTTATTTGGAGATTAAAAACACAAAAGTTGTCTGGTTTCATATCGAGGCACTACGTTTCGTTCGTGTGCTCATCGCTCTGCTCTAAATAAGGAGGCACGAGCATTGATTCTGTATCAGAATGAATGCTCAATGATCGGCCAGTTGTCGGCATGTAAAGTATTATAATTTTTTAACTCTCATATGGGGCCGTACTGCTGGACGCAGAAAGGACGCCGTCCAGTGTAAAGGGGGCTTTACGACTTCACAAACCATGCAACAACGTTTCTCAATGGTCACAGTCAACTTGTATTTACACGATGCAGTCCGGCAACACAAGTCCACAAACAAAGCCTCTCTCGATTACGCACCATGTACGTGTAGTTCTTCAAGTTCTGAAACGTTTGCAGAGTGTGGGCATTCCACATACTGTGCAAAGATTGTAAAAATTGCATTTTTGTTTTTTTAGTCTGTCATATTGGCTAATTAAATCGTTACTTTAAAATGAGGAATAGTTTATTTTAACAATGTAAATGGTGCTTGAAGCAAATTCCAGAAAGTTACAATCTATATTTTTTCAATACTGACAATTGTAGGTAAGGGAAGTGTCAGGAAACTGAGGAAAAAACAAACAAACAAACACGTGTCTGTGGTCCTGAAACTATTTTTTATTTCTATAGTGTGTATTAATGTAACATAAGAAGTGCTACGGAAATCTAAAATTTCTGAATCAATGTTCGAAAATTAACAATGTGATATTTTCTCACTGCTGATATAGTGCATCTTAAAGAAAATATCAGAACCATTTTTTCTTCATTTTGCTCATTTTTTTTTTTTTTTTTTGGGGGGGGGGATTCTTTCATCTACATAAGCTAGCAGTTTTATAGAGATTAATAGGAAAATAAAATATATATTATTTCCGGTATTTTCGAATGTGTTTACACAATAAGATCTGAAAAACGTTTAAATTAATTGACACTAATGTCTTTTTGCACAAGAAGTGTTTCTAATGTCGTGAGAATTTTCACATACCAATAATATGCTTTAGGGAATTTAGCCTATAGTCTTCATTATTACTACATTTACATAGCATGTCTGTTTATATATGGCCATAAGGCCCCCCTAAAAAAGAAAAAAAAATACATCTTTTACTGTCGCCAAATAAGTGTAAGAATCTCAAATATGTATTAACTGGAAAGCAAGCAGTTCAATGCAATGTAATGAAAGAAGCATCCCGATACTTGATGAGACAAAAGAACAGGAAAGATTAAGCGCCATTATAGCTACTTTTTACTGCCGGGAATTTGAGTAGGTTTGGCGTCAGACTCTGTCTCACGAATAGTAAATGACTTAAACATAAAGCCATCATTAAATTGCTCAAATTCATACACCCATTGCCACAAACACAGGGTGCTGTGTTCTTTAGTTACAGTAATGGTTCTCTCTATGGTACTTTCTGCCTTCCATTGCTGTTCGTCGGTGGTTGTGAAAGAGCCCCCATAGGTGGCGCTGGCATCTACAATACCTTTTGCAACTCCCACTGATATCTCCCAAGTGTTGGTCAGAGACGAAGAGGAGGTTTTACTTGTTCCGATGGTCATTGTGTATTTCAATGACCCGACGTGGACATTGTACCAACAAGAGACCTTTTGCCATTCTCCTTTCACTTGTGGGTTTGGAATTACCTGCACCTTCTGATTTGGGTTACCCTTTTTTACAAAGTCAAACTTAATATTTCGGTGCAGTCCTGAGTGAAGCATCAAGTCAGAGTGCCAATTCGGCCTTTCTGCTTGATAAGGGTACACGTGGACGTACTTGCCGCCGGAATGTTTGATGATGCCTTTTTCTTGGTCAATTGTGAAAAGTGCGGAATTATAGCAGTTCGGATGCGGGAAAAGTGCAGTGTTGTCCCCAGGACTGGCCCAGCCTCCAAGGGGGTTCATACAATGTCCACCTGTTCCGACGATCCTAAGGTAGCCCCAATGTCCCTCTTTCTGCACCCATTCCACTTCCGCTGCATTGCTGCAGGAGTCGGCACGGAATTTCTCATAGTGATGGCCCCACGCCCGCCAATCTTCATAAGCATAACACAAGCCGCTGGACCGATGCTTCACAATGAACCGCGGACTGGTGTAGGCTCCTGTAACATAATAATAATAATAATAATAATAATAATAATAATAACTATTATAATTATATTAAACTATAAATAACATTTATATATAACTTATATATGTTATTGGCTGGCTCTACTCCCTGTTTACCATAAGAGGGTGGATCGCTGAACATTTTACGAAAGGTGCTTTCCCTCTAGATGCAGTGGTACTGAAGGGGTGGCATTGTAAATGCCAGTATATAATGCGAGACAACTATAGTCAACAAAATAATAATAATAATTATTATTATTGTAACAATTAACAGATATACATATGAATGAAAATAAATTAATAATATGATAGGGCAAATAAACACTTTTTTCTAGAAAATTGATACAATCTAAATGCTTTTATGACCTGTTCTGTTGGATTTTTTTTTCAAATAAGATTTTGGTAACTAAAGTACAAAACTTTTTAATTGCCCCTTAAATGGCATCTTTTCACCATACAATGGATATTTGATGAAATATTGGTTCTTTAAGGAATTTTTCTTGGGTGTCAGCGGGCAAGGTATACATATTTGTCTTTCATGATCAAGAAAGGACTTCCGACACCAAACATGAGTAAATGACCATGTTCAAATTTGCATAAATTGATAACGTTCTTTCGTTTGGCAGTCATTTTGCAAATATGTGTGAATACAGAAATTGGTTTGTTTGCACAAGTCATCTTACCATTATGACCTTTATTTCCGTTCAAAAACATGAAAATCCGACATGCAAAAGAACCAGCATTTACCAGGTGACCATATTGGATTTGGCATTCATGTTGAAATTTTCAAACATGCTACTATATCCTAACGTTCAGCAGATGCTTTTTTTACTGTGCAAAATATTTTTGTAGTTAAAAACTGCATGATGAATTCATCAAATTGTTGGATAACTTGAGCAAGTGGACTGCTCGCTGCTTTGATTTATGGGGCCATCCTGGGGTCTTAATATAAGTAAAGAAGCGGTTATTTATCCTTATTCGTCCCGTCGAACCAAATGATATTTTTAACCATTAAAAGAATATACATTACACGTTTTATTTCGAAAAGGTATTTGAGTGGCCATATTGGATTTGACGGCCATATCGAGACTTTCAGACGTGTCCCAATGATTAAAAATACTCCTCATGCTTGTAGTTAAAGTGCACGATTCACCTTTATCTGCACCATAATGCTGGACTACTACAACTTACCCACGTTAGCTGCCATCGCCAGGCACAGCAGCGTCAGAGAAAGGAGTACGTGCATGGTGAACTTCAGAGGTATGGGTCTTCTTGCAGCGAATGGAGAGCCCTCTACTGGTTCCCTTTGGTGCGTTCGTCTTCAGAGGTGGAAGTGATGCAGAGATGCCCTTCAGTCGCGCGTATTTATACATGTCAACGCGGAAATTCATTCTGTCAAACGTGTAAAATGATATTTATAATATCATCTTGCAATTTCTCTGATGGGTGCTTATTGGCTAGTTAACTTATATACATGTAAGTGTCATGCATTTTACAGGAATGACGCAGACTAGTACATATATAGGCGTTATTTATTTATTTATTTATTATTTTTATTTATTTATTATTATTTTTAAACAGAAAGTGCATTGCCCCTAGGGAATATTACTTGAATTAAGAAAATACGGTCGGATGAACTTCACTAACACACTCACAGCACTCTCTGATACTCCGGTACAATCGCCTCTTGCCACCGGATCTGATGCGGATTCTTATTACTATGTACACTATGTGAGCTCTCGACGTGAACAGTTTCCTTGAGTTCTTCTGAGAAATACTGTGCTATAGAAATACACTGTGCGATGATTGGCTAAGTGCGTTATCCCTTCCTCGTGCAGGTATGAGAGACAGCTACACGAGACACCTTATCTTAAGCTTGTTGCTATATCTTAGCATTTCTAGTCTTTTCATTGCCACGTGCCTATCTATATATAGTCTCTTTGAGAGAAGTGTCAAGTACTTCTTAATTTTTTTTTTTTTTTTTTTTTTGTCGTTTCGTAATGCATTTCCTGTTCAGTTAATTTACATTACCAGCACAGAATAATATATGAATAAATATAAGTCTGCCCCTTGGATAGAGAGCAAATGACACAACATGACCACCAACACCCACGGGCACCTTAAGCACATGTTTTTTTTTTTTCCTCTGTGTTAAAATCAAAACAGACACCGAGTTAAGCAATCAATTTAAATAAAAACCTCTGTTTTATTCACTGAAACATAATGCAGTTTCATTTAAGCCTACAGCGAATCAAGATAGGCCTACTGTCCTGGGATGGGAACCAATAAAAGTGGGGAAAACGGGTGATATGAAAGCAATTTCGGGTGCACAGCAATCTTGCGACAGCTTGGGGTTATGACATTTGATAGTCAACATCAAATCCATACATCAGTGGGGGGCGTCTCGATAGTCCGAAGGTTCATTGGTCCGAAGGTTCATTGGTCCGAAAAGTGGTAACATTTTAATCGATTTTTTAAACAAGGGTTAATTGGTCCGAAGGTTCTATAGTGAATATTCGGACCAATGAACCTTCGGACTATTGAACCTTCGGACTATTGCTACGGCCCCCATCAGTGGTAATGGACTGTGTGAAAGTATATACTTAGACATTCATGGCTTGATCTTTGAGACAAGCATGTGAATACTGGCAGGACCAAGCAGATAGCTTGTGGGTCTTTTGGAGCAGCCTATTCTTTTCTTTGATCAATATATTTGAAAGAAAAATTTAGTAGGCCTACATAGAAACAAATAAAAGCACAGGGCCTATGTGCATAGCTGAATGCCCTATAGTATTGACACTACAAACACTGACGGGGAATTCTACACTGTTCTAAAAAAATAAGACCACAAGCGACATTGGCCCCATTCAGAATACGGGACTAACTAGTCCCGGGGTCAAGTATGGCGACCGACTACAAAGCTTGCTGTCTATCCGTTAATTGACACCTGATAGATTCCCCATGGGGAAGAGTTCAAGTGGGTCAGCCATACTTAATCCTCGGACTAGTGGGCCTAAGTCCCCTATTGTGAATGGGGCTATTATGTTTTTATGGCAAAAGGTTACTTGTAAGCACACTAGTTTGCTAAAGATATAAGAGTTCATGTGACATTTCTTCCAACCATTAGGCCTACGTGAAAACGTCAATTTTTGTCAGTTGTAATTTGATTTTAGTATCAATCATTAATTAAAGCTTTTTGCTGTACATTTATAAGGATGTTTTCTCTCTGTGTCTCTCTCTACACACACAAACACACACACACACACACACTAAATGGAGGGTTTTGTAGGCCTACGTATACGTAAAGCTTATGCGCAGCAAGAAATAAATTCAAATCTATTGCGTTAAATTTTCACACGTTCTCTTCGCGGGTGCTGGGCAAAATAGGCTGATAGTCATTCGCTCCATTTTCGTAAACCGTGAACGTTGGGATTTGGTATACAGTAATTTGTTGATAAGGATGCTCATCTTTGCTGCTGATATTTGGCATGGCTGGCGTCAGGCCTTCGTAATGTGACGTGTCGCCCTGATGTGGGCTGCTCGATAGATGGCGCTCCGGTTTGTCGTTCCCATTGTTGTCAAATGCAGGGTTCAAGTGGGGATTGGTCGGCAAGGAGTTTTGTGGAGCACTGAAATTATTGAACGAGATATGAGGTCATTTGGTGTTTCTTTCAGTGGGTGTTTCTAATTGGGTTTTCCCTTTACGGTATCTGTAGGCTTACTATCAGTTTTCTTCATCGAAATGAATATAATAGGGTTACTACAGTTCGCATGTTGGCACTCAGTTTTTCAATCAGTAGCTACATGATAACAAAAAAAATCTTAATATATATCCTGGGTCCAATTTATTTATTTATTTATTCAATAAATTATACATTCATTTTATTTTATTTTATTTTATTCAGACGTACAAAATGCATTTATTATTCTCCAATAGTAATATTACGAGTAGGCCTACTTACTTCCGTTTCTTTAATATCACCACCACCAGTAGTACCAAGGCTATAATTATCACTACGCTGACTACGCTGACGGCAATCAAGGCAGCGCTCACTGGCTGACTAGCGGGCCGAGTCTCAACGTGGTCTTCAGCTGAAACAAAATTAAATATCCACCTTCTTCAGTAGCTTATTATTATTTATTTTTTTTTTTTTTTGGGGGGGGGGGGGGAGGTGAGCCGACACGTGTCCCTGCTTTACATGCAGCATCTGAGGTACCCCTGCTCCCTATCCAAGTATCCCGTGATGAGTCAAAAACAGGCATAATTTCATCCCTTATAGAAAACTATCCTCATATTCTAATTATCTGTGAGGCAATGATAAACCCTTTCCTCCCACTCACCCCAACCCACCAATGCACGCACACACCCGCCCTCTCAGAATAATCTAAATGGTACTATTACCGGGTTGGCTATGAATCAGTTTACTGTCGGGAAACTTTGACGTTGAAAAAAGTTCACTTCGATGAGTGATTGAAGTTGTTGTAGTTCTCAGTCGAAGGTACGTTGAGCTAGAAATCTTACCTGAGATTAACCCGCCTTGAACCGTTCTTGAAGAACTTGGTTCCACCATGGCAGGCGAAGATGTGTCCAATGGCACATTTCCAGCTGTAATATTGATCCAGTAAAAGAAGAAGACATTCCATAATCAAATAAAAAATTTAAAAGTAACAGCTGATATATATATATATATATATATATATATATATATATATATATATATATATATATATTATTTTCGGATATGCATCTTCAAAGGAACATTTGCTTATACGGTACATGTTATGCACATGCATATATACGTTAAAAATTAATCATATATTACAATTGACAGGTTAACAAACACATTGATAACAATATTGTATACGACAATACCAATTTACTTACATGTACTTTGACCAGACAGGCAAACGGAATCTGGGCATGCGCACGTTCTGCCGTTGGGTTTGGGTAGACACAGGTAGGGACAACCCCCATTGTTTATGCTGCAGCCGTTCGATCCTATAATAACATAACTGTTTTAAAGTGCTGATGTTTACATTACTTGTCATATGTTGTAGAAAAATGACATAGATTGCGTTGAATTGCTTCCAGTTCAAAGTTTCAGCTGCATTCTATTTAAACAATTACTCGCACTTGTCTTCTTTCTCAGTGAAACCACATGGTGATGAATTACCTGTCGGTTGGTATGAACTCTGGTAAACATGGAGATCAGTCAATTGGGCGGGAGCTTGTACAACAGGAAAATTGGATTGGACCTTTGACTGCGGAATGGATCCGCCCGTCTTATTAACCATGTGGAAGACCCTTGGAAATATAAGTGCCCACATGATACTTTTGGTCGTACGTTTAACTTAAAACGTATAGTTCAAAACAGTGCATTTCTTAGAGCTATCGAGAGCTTATTATTTACGGACTCATTGTAGCAAGGCCGTCATCAAAGGTAGTCAGCCTTACTTTCGAGTGTTTATCTCTTAATTCAAGAGAGTTTATTTATCCCTGCGACATTCAGCTCGAAAAGATACTCTGAAAGTATCTCTTTAACATTTTACTTAAACATTTTACTAAAAGAGATGACTGTACAAGAAAGTGGGGAGACAAACATTCAGACGTTATTTACTGAAAAAAGGGGATGAAAATCCCGATCTATAAAACCTATGAAAAACCAAATGGTTAGCACACCTACGCACCAAATTCTGAACGCCCAGTCGGTGAAGTACACCTTTGTTCCATCAACTGCAACGCCAAAGTACCTTCCCCCATTTTGTGGGAAGCGCTCGACCTTGACACGTCTGTTACTGCCGTCCGTGTCAGAAACTTCAATTCGCGAATAATTTCCATCACACCAATAGAGTTTCTGTTCTGTAATCAAAATGCTAAACATCATAATAGATATATTTAGGATGTCTCAATCACAATTCAGTGATGTTTTTGCTATCATCGCCGTGAAGTTTCAGTTTTATTTTTCTGAACACCACCCTCTACAGTAGTGTACAATGAACTAATGTCGCATTTCCAATAGCTGCCAATTTTTTGGCTAAAACCAGCGGTCCATTGTACACTTCTCGCTACTGTACCCCTGCTGTTTTCAGCAAATAAAAAACGGGATGATATCACAGTGACTATCGGACAAGAGAGAGCCCTGAATTTCAGGGTCCAATGCTTATGGACACCCTCCGCCATTTGTCAAACTGGTAGGCATTGTTCTAGCTCTAACTTTTTCTCCAATAGTCCGTTATCTATACAAGTCACGTCACGTTGCTATTTTCATGTTTTAATTTGTTGAGATTAATTCATATTTGATTAATTGAAGTTCATCGTTTGGATCTCACCAGGGATGTCAATATCTATTCCGTTCGGCCATGATAGAGCCGTGTCCACCACAGTTTGTCTGTTTCCGCCGTCCATGTGGGCTCGTTCTATCTTTGCTTCCGTTCCCCAATCCGTCCAATACATCCAGCTGTAACAAAGTAGTAAAAGCGAAGCAAATGGGAGCAAGTACGAAAATCGATTATTTAATGTCAACAATTTTATTTGATTATGACACGCTATCTTCAAAGGTAACCCTTCTAACCTATTTTCCCGCCAAATTGCATTTTTCTCAAATACAAGTAATTATTTGCTCGTACTCAACATTCGATTTTGTCCGCCATGTCTTCTTAATTGAAAATGTCATTAATTGTACATTTCAAAAGGAACTGTAAACATCAGGTACCTTTTAGAGGGGGGGGGGGGGGGAAGGGTATCGTGACTGAGAAAGAATAATGAAGTACCTTTGCAGGATATCTAAAAATAGACATGGTAACTTTAAGACTTTTTCTAACGCAGCAGGTATATGTGTACCTTTAGCACGCCATAAATGCGTGGGCTTATGACGTAACTTCGATAGTTTTTTTCACTTTAACGTACAGTTAATTTTTATATTTACGACTTTGGCATATTGTTGAAAACACCTTACAACACGACATATTCTGTACACATTGAAAGGACATGTATACAGCAAGTTTAATTTTCAGCGCATTTTATCTGGAGTTGTGAAGGACGGGTATCCTTAACTTACCCATTGTAAGGATCCAACGTAATCGCTCTGGGCTCAGCGAGTCCCGTGTTAATCAGCACCTTATGATAAGATCCGTCCAACCTCATCACTCCTATGACGTCATTCTCAGCCTCGGTGTAGTAAAGAAGACGAGAAACATGATCTACTGCAATGCCATCCGGAACCTTCTCTGCAATATATATACAGAGAGAAAAAATGTTTACCATATCAACATGTCATGCTGAAGTGTTTGCCTGGCAGGTGCATTTCAAACTAAGCCCGCATTCTCAACGAATTGAGCCAGGCTTTACAAATCCTGAGAACTAAAAATGGCGGACGTACATGAAAGAAAAACCGCCTAATCTTTTAATAGTCTCTCCACTTCTCACACGCCTCCCCACACGTCGTCCCTGCGGGGTACAGTAATTAAATCTAGGCTCCGAACATAAATATCTCCGTGAATATCTCTGGTGATGTTATCTCCGTAGATAGTCGATTTATTGCTGCTCTACGGGCCAATTCATTCCTTTTTCGTCTCTGTTTTGAAAGATAATAGAACAGAAGAGCTTTTTTTCCTTCGATCGCCTTCAGCCGCCATGCTTTCTTCACCACGAGTTTAACTGATGAGCATGCGCACTTAATATTACTCAGGTAGCTTCCGCATAGCGAACGGAGCCGAGATTTAATTACTGTACCCCGCAGGGACGACGTGTTGGGAGGCGTGTGAGAGGCGGAGAGACTATTAAAAGATTAGGCGGTTTTTCTTTCATGTACGTCCACCATTTTTAGTTCTCAGGATTTGTAAAGCCTGGCTCAATTCGTTGAGAATGCGGTCTAAGAGTTATAATTAAGCTCGTTTTGAATCGTATCACATGACAGGTTGTCAACTTCAAATAAATAACAAATACTGCGATATCACCTGGAAACTTAGCTTTAAGATAGATAGATAGATAGATAGATAGACAGATAGACATATCAGCATATGTAAATTGTAACATAACACATTATTGTTAAGTCATGACATTAATGGGCTAGAAGTTATAAAGATTATTATTATTATGTTGTGACTATATTGAGCGTCAATTTCCCAGCACGTGTCTTCAATACGACGTGACGTGTCTTCAATGAATTTCAAGTGTCTTCAAAATTAAAGACCTTCTTAAGACAGTCTACATTGCCAGACGGACACTTTTATAGCAATAATCATAGTTTTTTTCTCAAAATTTCAACGAGTTTTTCTTGAACACCGAACCATACCCTACAGGTATATTCATAAACCTATTTTCATGTTCTAAATTCCTATTCTCACTACTAACTATACTAGTATGTACTTGTGAAATTTATCAGTTTCTATCACATTGAGAAAGACTACAAAATTTAAAAAAAAAACAACTAAATATGTAATGAATACAAAACTCATGAGGACCTACCTGCTAATTGCCCATTAGATAATGTTTCAAAACTGTAAATAGTTCCGGCTCGGCTTCCGTCTATCCCAACTCGCCGGATTCTGGACAGTCCATGCAAAATCGGGATAACCTCGGTCCAGTACACCCTTTGTTCTACCGGATCGTAGCTAACAGAGATGGGGTTCGTGCACTGACTGTAAACTTGAACGAGTTTCTCTCGAGCGAGGTCGGCTTGCCAGATAATGCCATTGTGTTTGTCCGTGAGAATCAGGAAGTTATCTGTAACGTACTGTGATACAACTGAAAGTCAAGAATGTCTAAGATTTTATGACGACGTATTTGTGCATAATCCGTGCAATGTATAGGCTCAATATGGCGTAGTCAGCGTACCGTAGTTACAGTAGTGGGCAACTAACATTATCTCGTTTTCTTCATTTATCGGGTCCTAATAGACACCTTTTTTGGTAACTGTGACTACCTCCTATTAATTCCTATTAATTTACTTCCGTCTTTTTATTTGAAACATGCAGCAATCTTTTTGGACAGATTTTACAATATTGCACCAAGGAAGGATGTCGCACTCGTACTCTCAATTTGCACGGCGGATCCAGGATCCAGATTTTTTTTTTTTTTTTTTTTTTTGTATTGTAGAGGGCGAACGGTTCTATTTCGTACAGTTTAGATCGAACTATGATTCAGCTTGTCAAAATTCTAATTTCAAGAGGGGAATATTTGTGTGATTTTTTTTTCAGAGGTCGAAAGGGGGGAGGGGGCTGACACCCCTCCCCTAAATCCGCCACTGAATTAGTATATGTTGATCTGTTAATCGTTAGTTGGACATGTATTCTGAAGGATACCAACGTTTACGCCATTCTTTTAGTGTTATCCAGTGTTGAAAAATATATAAAAGTACACTGCCCCCCCCCTCCTCGCCCTCGCATAA